TGTCCATCAGTTCCAATCTAATCGATATGTTGCGCATAGAAGAGTTGGCGATGGGGAACAACTATATGTGTGTGAGTCTAATGAAACAAGAAGTAACATTCAGGGGATAGAAAATAAACGCGAAGATGACGTATTTACACACGACAGTCGGAGGAAAAATACAAAAGCATTCTTTGATAAGTGGACTATGATAAATTTTGCGATGAATAAGAGAAATTCAACTAATTTAATTTCTTAAAACTTCGAAAGGACGCGTTGTCTCTCCCTGAATTCGGAACGCCATAGATTATACTAACATTTGTTTAACAATCGGATTAGCCAATGAAAAACCAAACGCATAATAGCAATTCGAATTTTCCTCCACATCTCATTCTCTGATGAAGCTTTAATAAAAGCGAAACATTTTAGATTGACAAATGTTACCCATTCGTTTTTATATATATATATATATATATATATATATATACTGTCATCTACAGACAGGCTTTTTCGCAGCTCTTCAGTGTGGCTAGACGTCCGATTGCTTCTAGCCGGGATTGAAACTTGATTCGGTATCAGTCAGAAATTCTACCCCTAGGCTATCGTCGCACGGGATAGAGGAGGGGAAATTTTAACATTTTATATGCAAAATGGCCCAAAGACACACACACATATATATATATATATATATAATAAATGGCAAGAGGGCGTACTCAGTCCCTTAAGGAGCTGTATTTATTCAGTCGTGTACTTAATTTTTTACAGTTTATCACCCGCTTGTGGATTATTTTAAAGCCGAAACGTATTTTGGGGAATATAAGAATAATTAATAATTTTTGAGAGACAACACGATTTTTCCGGATATCCGTTTTATAGCCGAATGGAGAGAGATAGGTAGTCATATCTTTGCCAAGGCTTATTCGCACATGTGAATATAACGAACCCCACTGGTATTCGAACTCGGCTCTCAGATTTCTTATTCCAAGCCGTTATCCATTACACTACACGTAATGCCCTCCAAAACACGACGAAAAAAAAATGTAAAGGAATCCCTCGATTAGTGCGGCTACTGTGTACATCGGTAAATATAAAGAAATCAATTTTCAATTACTCTGGTTAAACTGAAGAATGTTTTACCGCACTAATCGAGTATTATGTATACACTAATCGAATTTTGGTATATACGTATTTTAGCTCAGTAATCAAAAACGCATTAATCGCGCGCGCGCATTAATGTATGTATTTATAGATATGTATTTATAGATATGTATTTATACGCAAAATATGCGTGTCATTTTATTTATTTCTTTTTTTATGTCCCCGTAGAATTTTCCAATCCGTTCATACAATTCAGAGTTTCATTGAATTGATCGAATTGAGATTGATTTTATCCCGTTCGTTTATATTTGATTAAAAATGTATTTTTTGTCAGTTGATTTTATAGCGAAGTTCTCTTCTTTAGATGCTTTCGAACATCTAACGGCTTCGGAGTATTTGCTAGTTAAACCGACAAATAAAACTTTTTTTTTTTTTTCGCTATTGCATTTAGACTAGGCTTTGCTATCTTTACGAAGTCAGTATATTGGCCCATGAGACCAGCACCGACAAGGTCGAAATGCAATCTGATATTTTGTGAAAGAAAGATGGGCGGATTTATGGCAGGCTATCGATCTTCGATAACGATGTTTGCTTTTTAAAAATAAGCAACTTACGTATCGACTTTGCTTTTCATTTTTTTTTTCCCAATGCCGACTTTTGTGTTTATTTTTAGATATGTTTCTGTTCTTGGTCAGTGTGTCGAAAAGGTTACAGCATAAATTCCCGGCGGTTTATTGAAGAGCGTCATAGAGAAAAAAAAAATTAGGATGAGCGAAAACGTAACATGTGAAATAAAAAGCTAAAAACTTTACCAAATGAATTGGAGGGCAGAGAAATGGATTAGATAAATTGCACATAAAGGAAGGAAACAGAGAAAGGGGAAAAAAAACGATGAATAAAATAAAGAAGAAGTCAAAAATGTACAACTGAAAAAGAATAAAATTAAAATAGAAAGAACAGTGGGATTAAAAGAAAGAAAGAAAGAAAGAAAGAAAGAAAGAAAGAAAGAAAGAAAGAAAGAAAGAAAGAAAGAACTGGAAGTAAAAGGGAGTAGGGGAAAAGAAAGAAAGAAAGAAAGAAAGAAAGAAAGAAAGAAAGAAAGAAAGAAAGAAAGAACTGGAAGTAAAAGGGAGTAGGGGAAAAGAAAGAAAGAAAGAAAGAAAAAGAAAGAAAGAAAGAAAGAAAGAAAGAAAGAAAGAAAGAACTGGAAGTAAAAGGGAGTAGGGGAAAAGAAAGAAAGAAAGAAAGAAAGAAAGAAAGAAAGAAAGAAAGAAAGAAAGAACTGGAAGTAAAAGGGAGTAGGGGAAAAGAAAGAAAGAAAGAAAGAAAGAAAGAAAGAAAGAAAGAAAGAAAGAAAGAAAGAAAGAACTGGAAGTAAAAGGGAGTAGGGGAAAAGAAAGAAAGAAAGAAAGAAAGAAAGAAAGAAAGAAAGAAAGAAAGAAAGAAAGAAAGAACTGGAAGTAAAAGGGAGTAGGGGAAAAGAAAGAAAGAAAGAAAGAAAGAAAGAAAGAAAGAAAGAAAGAAAGAAAGAACTGGAAGTAAAAGGGAGTAGGGGAAAAGAAAGAAAGAAAGAAAGAAAGAAAGAAAGAAAGAAAGAACTGGAAGTAAAAGGGAGTAGGGGAAAGAAAGAAAGAAAGAAAGAAAGAAAGAAAGAAAGAAAGAAAGAAAGAAAGAAAGAAAGAAAGAACTGGAAGTAAAAAAAAGGGAAAAGAAAGGGAAAGAAAGAAAGAAAGAAAGAAAGAAAGAAAGAAAGAAAGAAAGAAAGAAAGAAAGAAAGAACTGGAAGTAAAAGGAAGGAGGGGAAAAGAAAGAAAGAAAGAAAGAAAGAAAGAAAGAAAGAAAGAAAAAGAAAGATCAATGGAAATAAAAGAAAAACAGAAAGAATGAAAGAATGATATGAAGAAAAGAAAGAATGAAAAAGAACAAAAGAAGCAAAAGAAAGAAAAGGCAATCATAGAAAGAAAGAAAAAAGAAGAAGAAAGAAAGAATAATGGAAGTAAAAGAAAGAGAAAGAGAAGGAAAATAAGACGTTAAAATACAATAGAAGTAAAAGAAAAAACAATAAAAGGAAAAGAAAGAAAGAAAGAAAGAAAGAAAGAAAGAACGAAAAAACAATAAAAAAGAAAAGAAAAATGGAAGCAGATGAAAGAAGGAAAAAGGAAGAAAGACAAAGGGAAGTAAAAAAAAAGAAAGAATAAAGAGTCGAAAGGAAAGAAAATTGAATTTATAGTAAACTAAATGGTGCAAAATATATCATGAATAATTAAGCGGCATGTATTTCTTAACCCAATTTGACAAAAACGATTCTGTTTTTCATCGAAATTCATTCAGACCCCAACAGAAAAGACACTGGATCAGAAAAAGCAAACAAAAAAGAAACAAGACGAATTTCTAAAACAAAAAAAAATACGTTCTTCAGAACTGTGAGATAATCAGGCCATAAACAGAAAAAAAAATGTTACACTTAGAAAATATGCAAAAGAAACGCAGATCAGCTAAATCATCGAAAGAGATTTTATTTGGAATATGGCATTCTATAAAATATTTCCACTATCAGACATAATTCAATCGATCACAAGTCTCGTAAGTCATCAGTGTCGTAGGGCCACCAGACGTACTTGTACAAGTGATATGTCTTGGGCAAGACAACCTGATGGAGCCCAACTCCTTCTTCTAAACTGGTTGCAGCACCCCGTGTAATGCAGTCGCAGTAGAAATGGTGTGTCTTGAGCAAGATAGCCTGACGGAGCCCACCCACCTCAAAGCTGGTTTGAATTCAAAGTTTTCCTTCTTATCCCCCAATACTATAGATCCCTGTTATTTACAGAAGGCAGGAGAGGTGGATAAATATCATACTTTTTCCAAGGGTGAATGTAAAGGATCCGACTGGAATTCGAACTCGACTCTCCGATTCCTCAATTACTCCAACCCATTACTTCACCGTGTCGACATTGAATGCAAAAAGGCAGATTAAAAGAACAGCACCTGTCTATATTTCTAAGATGAGTTATTATGTACACTATTTACATTATTCGGACTATTGTCCTCATCTTTGTTGTCATATTTATCCGATCCTTCAGTATCTGTCTATATTTCTGAGATGAGGTATTATGTACACTATTTACATTATTCGGACTATTGTCCTCATCTTTGTTGTCATATTTATCCGATCCTTCAGTATCTGTCTATATTTCTGAGATGAGGTATTATGTACACTATTTACATTATTCGGACTATTGTCCTCATATTTGTCGCCATGTTTCAAACCACCTGAAGAAGGCCGGAGCGTACAACGGCCAAAACGTTGTGATAAACATGGCGACAAAGATGAGGACAATAGTCCGAATAATGTAAATAGTGTAAAAGAACAACATTAGTAATTCCTACTCGCTTTAGATGTCCGTTTGTTTCCTGGTGTAAGGTACCATATCTGGGACTTTACTAAAAGATTTCCCTCCTAATCAAGATCCGAACACGCACTGGACTAGCGGAAGAAGCATTACAAAATTTAAGCAACATGTTAGAAAGAGTAAAATTCCGTTAGAAAGAGTAAAATTCCGTTAGAAACAAAGGAAAGTGTTACTTGTTATTCGTCCTTTTATATGGCAGTGAATGCTGGACAATCTCGCGACAGATATGATAAAAAGAAAAATGATTGATTAATTGATTGATTAATTGATTGATTTTTATCACAAAGTATTCTTAGATTGTAAAAACGTTTTTCTTGAAGATAATAATGGTTTAGTGAAACAAATGTTGCTAATTAACCTATACCTTGTAGAGAGAAGGCGGGGATCCATACTTTTTCCTAAAGGTATTTGCATGTAAGTCAATATAACGAACCTAACTGGAATTGGAACTCGGCTATCCGATTAACAATTCCGATCCATTTTCCATTAAACGACCTGAAAATCTAACCTTAG